CAAAATTAATCTTAAACATCTTACACCTCCCGCCCCATGGAGTTATTTTAGGAGGCAGGCTACTTCGAATCCACCTGTCAGGGCCAACTCAGGCTGTATAGGTGGGTGGTTGGCAGGTGCTCTGGAGTGGTTTGCTTCTTCTTCCCTATCAAACATCTATCGTCTTTATCTCCCCTTCTTCTTTTTTTCTGTTTGTTACTCTCTTGTAACACCTCTAATCTTCTGGCGCTCATATGACCTTATGCAGTTGTTTGCACCGTAAAACCTCTACTAAAACTAAAACTAAGACTGTATAGGACATAGGATCCTTCCAGCAGTAAACTAGAGATTGTAGGTCAAATACAGTTCCCCGTTCAGATATACAAGCAGAACTCATGCCTTTTGGGTGCAACGGTGAAGAAGCTTGTCATAACTCATTAACTGTAGTGCTTCTCACTTTGACGTAAGGTACAAACTGTGAGGGTCCTAGATCTAGAGATAAATATATCGTCTCTATTTTTTTTTAATGAATATCATAAAGCCATCAACAATTTCAGGGGGAAAAAAAGACCCTTGAGCTCGGGTCCCCGTTTTACAGCATTTTCACCTCACCACCATTAGGTCAATACTTATCTATCTGTTAACTGCCAACAAACTAAACAGTTCAAAACACCAAGTAGCAATGAAGAAGGAAAACAAACCATCCCAGCAACAGCAACCTTAGGCATTAACATTTATTCATATTCAGCTGTATCCAATTCAATAATCAAATACATGTACCAACTGTCACTAAAAAGCTTGACCAAATTATAAGATAGGAGTGCTTATTTGGGCAACATATAGCCCCCCCCCCCCCCCCCCAAAGCTAACCCTTCCCCCCAACTTATGTTAATCGCAAGGAACTGTTTTGTTGATATTTCATGTACACAAAAACCTATCAGTTCACGCACTTATACTTTTCTTCTTGTCTGTCTGTGATTCCTATAATTAGCTTCTACAGTACTACAGGTAGGAAGAATACAGAGCAACAAACAAACAAAGAGTTAAACAGAAAGAGAAAATAAAAATCAATTGGTTACAGACGAAAAGCATCTTTATCTCTCAAGACAAAAAGACCTCATATGACTATGTCTTAAATAGACATAGTCTTTAGTTTTTTCAGTCTTCATGCTGAGATAAATAAGGCTGATTTTAGGCCAAATCTCACTCCAATATAGACATTTACAGGCTGTTTACATAGACAGGACCAACATTTACAAAATCATCAATGTTATCACAATTCTAGTTCTGATCAAGTTCTTGAAACAAATAAATAAGCAACTATATCATACATAAAATAAATAGTGTGTAAATAAATAGATTCACTACAGTAAAAGAAATATTTAAGAGAAAGAACACATGTAAAAGAAACAGAGAGTGCCATTTTACCTCCCCGCTTTCTGCCTCATCACAAACCAGCCCAATATGCATACATCACTCCTACCACCTTCTGGGAAATGCCATTTCCAAGTGCTCTGTCCTTGAACAGAAAAATACAGTCAAATTTTTCGCAAAGAAAAAACTGGATTTTTTTCCCATTTAAGTAAGTCTTGCATTTTTTTTATGCCAACATCGACACAATTTCGATCCTAAAGGAATCGGGCTTCAGATCCTGCCTGTTGGGGCAAACCTGGGCTGAGAGGGATACATCCCAGCAGAATTTTACTGTACTTCTCCGATCCAGCGGCCCTCTGGGTTCTAGCCCTTCGTCTGTCGATATGGCAAAGAATTTACAGGTTTTTATCAGCTGTGTCTTGTCGCTGTATAAAGTATTTCCAATATCTGGGGAGGCAGGCAGGCAGGTGCTAGGTAGGTCGGTAAGTGCAGGGCAGGTAAAGAGATAATGTGATACTGTCACACAACGCCCAGTCCGGTGGGGTATCTTTGCGGATCCTATTCAGGTAGGAATTCAGAGGGATGTGTTGTGTTTGCAGGCGAAAGATGGTGACTTGTTCTCTTCTACTCAGGGAATTTAGTGCGTCTTATACATCCCAGCAAAAAGACCGAGATACTCTATAAAAAATTACTTCCCATTCAGGTGTGGAACTCGAGTCTCCTGCAGGCAACTGCAAAGAGCTAAACCAATACACCACCGATGCAGGTCCCCAGCATTGATGAAAAAATTCCACAGCACAGTTATATTATAGCGAACCCATATACATACAACTAGCATTTAGCTCTACATGTCAGAGGTAAAATAGAAAATTCCCAAATAAATCAGATTTCCTTTTCTCCTGAAAAAACCTGCAATGTCAGCAACGTTTGAGACAAGTGCTTTCGCTGAGCGACAGGACACCATGAGGACATAGCACCGTGAGGACTAGCAACAGAACCTCCCACAAGAAGCGCAATCAAAACGTCATCAAAGGTGGAGAGTGTACATGGCACAAAAACAAAAAAAAAAAGAATATTTACGGAGTAAAAAAAGAACATTATAGGAGTCAAATCGGTGGAACAAACCCATAACATATAAATATTCAGAATCAGTGACTCTGACTTTGTGCAAAAAAAAAATTAAATTAAAATGTTTTAAATCAAGACGATGAGCAACAACATAATTCATAATTGAAGGGGTTAGTTCTAAAGGGAGACTAAAGGCTAAAGGCCACTTGAACACGAACTATTTCAAGAAAAATTTGTAAAACTTGGTTCAACTACATTCTAGAATTAAAACAGGGAGATAAAAATAGCATATCAGTTTTTTCCTCTCTGGGTTTCAATATGGACTGAGAACTCAGAAGACATCATTATATGACCTAATTTCGTTCCCAAAAATGACACTTAGTCGCCTCCTTAAGAAGTAACTCCTTCAAGAACCAGTTTGTGTGCCCTCAAAATAAAATCATAAATCTTACGTTCTGGCACTTGTCACTGGATGAGAGAGTTCAACATTATCACAAGCACGCCCGGCCGTCTGGCATCTTAGCGCTCACAGACCGGAACAAATCAACAGGCTATTATTATATTATTATTATTTGCGGGTTCGGGGTTCGAGCCGTGGTGCCGACGTCGTGTCCTTGGGAAAGACACTTAACACAAATTTTCCTCACTTCTCCCACGTGGGAACACGTACCCAGCCACAGACAGCGAAAGATCTTGTTAGTGTTAGTGTTTTCGCGTCTATAAATGGCAGCTTGCACTATACGCTTCCCGGGACGTTGAGTTTGTTTCAGAATGCCCTCAGGTCTTCTGGGGTAATAGTATAGATTGTGAGGTGCATAGAGCTTGTTGTTGAGCGGGGATTTGCGCTATACAAATGCTATCTATTATTATTATTATTATTATCATCAATACTTTTCTCTTTAAAAAGAAAAAATATATATATATTTATTGGTGTCCCCCCCTCGACACAATTTAGATAATTCAGGAGGCAGGCTTCCGACCTTGCCTGTCAGCGCAAACCCGGGCTGAGACAGATACAACAACTTCTTCCCAGCAGAAAGAACAAGAAACTTGATTTTAAAAAATTTCTCCCCGCTCTGGAATCGAACTCAGGTCTTCTGCGCACAACAACAAAGCACCCATCCTCTACACAAGACCTTTTCCCCAAAGTACACAAAACGTGTATGGCTCAACTACAGAGAAAAACTTCAGAACAAAGCTAGTAATTTACTACCAGTGCTCGTAGAAGCAATGGCACAGGCAGATTCACCGACACAATGAAGATTATTTAGATCAAAACTTGTCAACCTTTTTTTTTAAACCCAGCACCCATTTTTTGCCACTTGAGCATGAGCTATTTTTCACCCAACATCCATTGCAGCCTGACACTTTTGGAGAATGTTGAAGCGTTACCCACAAAAAGATTGTAAAAGCTATCACAATTTTTTTTTAATGCAACAAGAGAAAGAAAGAAATACTCCCACAGCTAAAAAGAAAACTGAATCTAATTTGACACAATAGTTTTTATTTTATCAGTATTTTGAAATGGCAACGTTTGGGGGTTACGAAAAAATTTTTGTGTGCCCAATTTGTAATAAAACCATCTATCGTAATGCCATGGTGACCGACTTATTCCATTACTGTAATTACAACTCAAAAAGTATAGCACATAATTTCACCAAATTTTTAACGAAACAAGTGGGTCAGCTGTTGGCTTGCTGCTTCCTGTAGCTTGTAACCGAAAAACACTGTGGAGATATCGATCGATAACGCGCATCCCGTAAATACATGGGAATAGGCTCAAGTGAGTTAAGAGGTTAAAATTTCCGTACCGCCCATGAACACGTATTTCCATGTCTCCCGATGTCGCTGTTATTAAGCGGAGACCACTGTATCTCCGCTGTGTTTGGAAGAGTTGAGAGAATAATCTTTTTATAAATCATAAACAAATATTTTAGCTTTTAGTTTTAGTGTAGGTTTTACGGCGCTTGCAACTGCATAAGGTTATATGAGCGCCAGGGGGCAGATGTCAACAGAGAAGTCCGTACAGAGAATCAGGCTTACTCTGTTCACCTCTCTAGCTTCAACAGCACAAAGTCTGCTTCGAACATCAAGGCTTCCCGGAAATAGCGGGTCACACAAGTGTGACAAACATACAAAAGAAGTAGAGGAAAAAATGACGATAGTAAGGATTAGGAAAGAAAAAGCAGCACTTCCCTGTTGCAGTCCAGGAACAGTTATGAGCATGACATTGATGAATCAGCCCATTTACAATTTTACTGTGCATAAGAACTATGTTAATATTCCCCCTTTGGGAAAGGCCTAAAGACACTTCAGTCAGTAGCACTGACGCGGGGGAGTAAAACAGATATTTGTAAATGCACACTTCATGCAAAAATGTATCAGAACCTATGAACCCTCCAAGGTACCTTGGGGTTTAGGAAGGAGGACATTACTGTAATATGGTTTATAAATCAGTGCAAACATTGAGACTGTTCCGAAACATAGCTTTTAAGTTTTGAAATCTTCTATCAACATTGAGGGAATACACAAGAACAAAAAACAATAAAACAAAGAGCAAGAACACCAACGGCTACGTAAATGGCTGTGATTAAATGCAATCAATTTCACAACGCAAAATATTCCAAAAAGTAAGAAAAACATACAAAATTGTAAAAAAATATTCCTATTTTGTATTTTACGATTTACAAATGGTTCCACATGTTTTTTCTTTGTGAACTGCATTTTTTTAAAAACTGGATGTAGTGATATGATGTTAACTTTTAAACTTTCCAGCTGATACTGGTAGCTCAGAATTAACTGGGCCAATACCCGAGCTCTTTTGGTCAAGCAGTTACACACACAGCAGGTACAAAAATATCAGAGGCAGTTGGACTAAAAAGAAACTCAGCCATACACACACTTTCAAGTTTGAATATTCCATGTTGCATTGTTAAGTTGACATTACCTTTTGATAGGAAAAACAGACAAGAGAGAAGCAAGTGTATGCCTGCGTCATTCACATAAAGATATACGAAGCATAGCTGAGACAAAGTTGTAATCATAGCTTTTACCGTATCTGTAAAGTAGATAAGCGCATCAAATGAAAGAGAAGGATATAGATTGGAACATAAACAAATCTTACAATTTTTTCCTTAATTCAAATATTAAAAATAAACAAACATACATACAATTCGTGCAATGTTGTGAAAACATAAGTAACAAGTTTAGCCGTATAAAAAAAAAAAAACAGAGTTTGTGCGAACATTAGGGTAACATAAGTAGGCCTATCAAAGACGTAAAAAAAAAAAAACCCATAAAAAAATAGCAAAATACGAATGCGATGGGCATCTACCATTAGAAATTTCTGAATATTATTTAGGACACGTCTTCAGAGCGTGAACTCAAAACAACATAAAAATCAGCTTTTGAGAGAAGCACTTTCAGACAGGGAGTATCTCCTCATTATTATAAAACACACCCATTTACTTTTACATCTATCTCTACGAACCACCAGCCACACACTGGTCCAACAAACCTTGACACACTTACAAGGGGTATCAACTCGCTTGTAAAAGGGTTGTTGTGCATAATACAGGGTTCCTGCCATGAACTCCCCACCATATTCAAGGAGATTTCAAGGTTTCAAGAAGAAATTTTTAAAATTCGAAGAGTTCTGGTCAAGAAATTCATGCCGTTTTTGACTGTGCGCCAAGAGAAATCTGACCAAAAAAAATTTTTTCCACGTCCTATTCGGCAATATTCAAGGAGTTTTTAATGAGGTTCCTCATATTCAACAAATTTTCAAGGAGATTTTTTCCTTGAATGTAAATTCAAGGAGTTTTCAAGGACTCCTTGAACTCAAGGACCCCGCAGGAACCCTGATAATATACTCACATTTGCAGAAAAATTAAAACACTTGACCCTGACTATTCCACAGGAGCAAGAAACTGAACAGTCTATTGAAAAACCCACTGCTCTGACTTTCAACTGCCTAGGCGTCTTAAAAGCAAGTCCAAAACGCAAAATCGATGGTAGGGGTTATCACTATGAACAACACAATTTAAATGCTTGATTATTGCGCCTGTCCTCCGATACAGAAAGTTGGATACCTTAGATAAATCCAGGTTATCTATTGGGCACACACACACACACACATGCGGCATTAACCCAGGCACTTTGGCACGAGACGGATAAAGCTTACCCCAAGGCCATTAAACCCCCTTTTGTGCTCGTCACATCCTACGCCACATTCAGACAAGCTGACTTCCGACCTCAAATGAAAGAAGCAGGACACCACAGATCCATAATACAAAAAATTATGGGCAGCCCATTCCGATAATTGTCAGCCCTAAAAATTTGTGAACCTCTAACCTAAATTCCAGTACATAACACGTAAAGCAAAAGACTACAATTGTAATTAAATCTTTCCTCAAGGACGTCTAAATTTATTCACTTCTCTTTTTTCTCTGACCACTAGTGATAAAAATATAAATGTCCCTAAAACAGATAGCAGAAAGATGTATATAAATATATTTATACTTGTGTGTATAAATACATAGATCTATACATACAAATATAATAGATACGCGTCTCAAACACATTTATGGTTAAACAAAAAGATAAAATCATACAGACACCAGCAGAACCTTTCTATTTGAGATCAAATCATTCTTTTCTCAACTATCACTGACAATAACAGCTCCTGCCTACACACTACACTAACTCAGAACAACTTTGGGAAAAGGCATCAGAAACAGGCACGACTACAGCATATAGCCAGAAACAACCACGACTACAGCATATAGCCATAAACAACCACGACTACAGCATATAGCCAGAAACAACCACGACTACAGCATATAGCCAGAAACAGGGGTGACTACAGCATATAGCCAGAAACAGGGGCGACTACAGCATATAGCCAGAAACAGGGGCGACTACAGCATATAGCCAGAAACAGGCGCGACTACAGCATATAGCACTGTCTCTGGAGGCGTAGGGCCAGAAGGTGATGGTCCCATGACAACAAAGCAAAATGAAAAAAAATAGAAAGCAAAAAATCTGAAAAGAAATTAAAAACCCGGTTTCTTTAAAAATGGGTTTTTGGTGCGAGCATGCAGCCTGACAATGAAGATAATTACCAAGCTCAAGAGCCATAAATCTAGCCACAACTTTCAGCTCTGGATACACAAACTACCTGTTCTAGAAATCTGTCAACATCAACACTGTCTGCCTCCATATAGTAAGTTTGGCCTTTCTTCTGGCAGGTTGCCAAGTTACATTCATTTTCATTCATGGGTATTCTCATAAACGTCTTAGAAAAGGACGTCTGATTCCAAACGCCCCCCAAATTACCTTCCTGCGCAGCCTGATTTTCAGGGCCAGAGCGCAGCAAGAAATAATCATTGCTTCAAATATACAACTCACAACAATTTGACATTGTTTACTCTTTTTTCTCACATGTTTTACACAAACAACTCAAACTGAAGCTACTTCCACTTGGTGCTGTTGCAGGCATATTCTTCTCACCAAAATCTCATGGCACCGAAGGTGTTTAAGTGAACATTGTCTTTTCTTGAATATGCAGTAGAATACCAAGAAAGCATAAAAAAGTCCTGTCCAAATACCACTCTCCAAAGATAAGTTAGTAAGATACCACGGTGTTGCAGAAAAGGAACACAACAATCCCCTTCATTCAAAAAAATGTGCAGAAGACAAGAAATTAATCTTAGCCTAAAGGATCTGCAATTACACCAGATATACCTCGGAGCACTTCACCGGACGCACCTCAAAACATTTGAGGTGATTCACCATTCACTTTTCTCTCTCTCTCTCTCCAAAACACACAAACACACACACACATACACAAACCCACACAACACAAACGAGCTAGCCACTACTGACCATTAGGCACACTATCTGAATTGCTTGTAGAAGTGGAAGAAGTAGAAGGGGGAGTATGAGTCTTGCTCCCACCGTTCTCGTTCTGCGCCGCCGCCGCCGATTTAGAACCACTGGGAGTCTTCTGTTTGAGAAAGGCCTCTGCGCTGGACACGGCCGCTGGGATGCTGTCCGAGGACTTGGTGGTGTGCTTGAACAGAAGCTTGGGGTCCTGCACGGCCCCCTGGGAGATTTGCGCCACCCGGCTCAGCAGGTCGTAGGCGATGCCGCCAGACACGACTGAGTCCTGCTTGTAGTCCGGGTGTGACGTGACAAAGTTTCTCATCCACGACGCACTCGTTTCCAGCTCGCCTGGAAATAAGAGGGAATTTTTTTTAAAGATTTAGTAGAGGTTTTACAGCGCTCGCAACTGCACAAGGTCATATGAGCACCAGAAGATCAGAGCTGTTACAAGAGAGTAAGAAACATAAAAAAGAAAAAGGGGAGATAAGGATGATAGATGTTTGATAAGAAAGAAGAAGCAAACCACATCAGAGCACCCACCAACCACCCACTAAGAGGGCATTGCCAAATACAAGCTCTTCCATCATGTGTTTTAGTTTTAGTAGTAAGAGTTTTACAACACTTGCAACACAATTAGGTCATATAAGTGCAGTAGATTAGTGGTGTTTTAAGGGAGTAACGAACATAATAAAGAAGGAGAGATAAGGACGATAGACGTCTGACAGGAAAGAAGGAGCAAACCACACCCGAGCACCCATCATTGCACAGTTAAGAAAGAAACTGTGGAATGCAAAAACAGCCCTCACAAAAAAGACCAAATTTGATGAAAACAGATTTTCTTTTAGTAAGAGTGTTACGCCACTTGCAACACACAATGAGCTCGGTCATATACGTGCCACAGATTAGAGGCGTTACAAGAGAGTTATCCTGTTTTCCCCAGATGTGTGGGAACCCTGCCTACAAATATTTATCCTCTGCTCTTATTCAAATATTCTTGAGGTACTGTAACACGGTGAGTAGCAGTTGTTGGCGCTCATATGACCTTATGCGGTTGCGAGCGCCGTAAAACCCTCTACTATAATAAAAATAGGTGAGTAGTAGCTGATAATTGTACGAGTTTCATGCACTTTTCAACTGCGATTCCTCAGAATTTAAACCTCCAGCTCCACAAGAATGTAGACAAGTAAGCTGAGAGCCTTGAACACTAAGACCAGCTCCACAAGAATGTAGACAAGTAAGCTGAGAGCCTTGAACACTAAGACCAGCTCCACAAGAATGTAGACAAGTAAGCTGAGAGCCTTGAACACTAAGACCAGCTCCACAAGAATGTAGACAAGTAAGCTGAGAGCCTTGAACACTAAGACCAGCTCCACAAGAATGTAGACAAGTAAGCTGAGAGCCTTGAACACTAAGACCAGCTCCACAAGAATGTAGACAAGTAAGCTGAGAGCCTTGAACACTAAGACCAGCTCCACAAGAATGTAGACAAGTAAGCTGAGAGCCTTGAACACTAAGACCAGCTCCACAAGAATGTAGACAAGTAAGCTGAGAGCCTTGAACACTAAGACCAGCTCCACAAGAATGTAGACAAGTAAGCTGAGAGCCTTGAACACTAAGACCAGCTCCACAAGAATGTAGACAAGTAAGCTGAGAGCCTTGAACACTAAGACAAACAAAATACTGTCAAAAATAGCCCATTAAGGATTGGTGCCAGGGACATCCGCACCAGAAGGCCAGCATGAAACCAACTGACCCAATTGAGCACTTGTAGTTTGGTGATGCATGCACTTTCACTCACCCCCTCCCTCCACCACTCCCTCTCTCTATTTCTCTCTCTCACGCACACGCTAATAGACAAAAACAAACACACATACCCTCACCTCACTCACCCACTCACTCTCACCCACTTACTCTCTCACACACGCACACACACACACACACACACACACACACACACACACACACACACACACACACACACACACACACACAGACACACACACGCACACCCACTCACTCACACACAGACACACACACGCACACCCACTCACTCACACACACACACACACACACACACACACACAAATACACACACTCACCTGAAGCTCTCATAGAGATGAGCTTGAGGTACTGTAGTATGGTACATCGTGTGTCCACATCTATCTCAATACTGTCCATGTACAGGTTTATCAAGGCCAGCAGACCAGGGAAATCATCCTGAAGAAAAAAAACCCAAACATTTCTTACATTACAGAAGACAGGCTACCAGTACCACCACAATGGAATTTTTAGTTTTAGTAGAGGTTTTTCGGCGCTCGCAACTGCATAAGAGCGCCAAAGGGTGGATGTCAACAGAGAAGTCCTTACAGGGAATCGAGCTTACTCTGCTCATCTCTCTAGCCTCAACAGCACGAAGTGTGTTACGACTATCAAGGCACCCCAGAAATAGCGGATCACAAGAATGTGACAAACATACAAAAGAAGTACTGGTAAAATAAGGACGATAGTAAGGATCAGGAGAGAAAAAGCAGCAGTTCCCTGTTACAGTTCAGGCACAGTTATGAGCTTGACATTGATGAATAAGCCCATTTACAATTTACAGTTTTACTGTGCATAAGAACATATATGCCCCCTTTGGAAATGGCCTACAAACACTTCAGTCAATAGCACCAGCCTGGAGGGTACCGCAGTGTAAAGACAGTCAAAGTTTCCAAAAGCTCCAAAACAGAAAAGTCTGAGCAGTATACGTCATTCAGGAGCATTTCATGAGATAAAATAGTATATCAACTACTTCCAGATGGACAGCAAACTATTGATTTTAATTATTCAAGATGGACAGTTTTGTTCTTTTTCATTTACCACTCACCGTGGGTCACATTCATTTCTAATTTCTGGGTCAACTTAAAGGCCAGACTTAAACAGCTCACAGGCTGGACCTGGCCCGTATGCTGTAGTGGGTTTATAAAAGTGCCGAAGATTAGAGGTGTTGCAAGAGAGTAACAAACACAAAAAAACAAGGAGAGATAAAGACGATAAGATAAGATAAGATAAGATACATCTTTATTGTCCAGATCCTGGCACATTGGTTTGGTGTTCCACCACGAGTACACACACACACACACACACACACACACACACACACATGTACACACACATGCACACACAAGTAGGCTTACAATCACATGCATCATATAAATGAGCAGCAATATAAACAATAATCATTGTAAGCTAGATACACACTCAATGTTATTTTGATGCATGCTCTAAGGTCGTAAGTACACTAAACAAGATGGTTAAGAAGGAAGCATGTTGATAGATGATGGTAAAAATGACCTTCTGTATCTTTCTTTATTACAGATCAGAAGCATTGGTCTTTTACTTCTGACTGATGTTTTTATTTGAGGGAACAAGGGATGTTTGTTGTCTAAAAAGATGGAATTAATTTTCTTAGTGCAAGCTGTTATGTACAATTCATCCAAGTACGGGAATGAAGATGTTGAAATTTTACATGCTTTCCGTATTAGTTGATTTAATTTTTCTTTATCTTGTTGTCTTGTGTTCCCGGCCCATGCTGTTATACAAAAATTGATCATACTTTCTATGGTTGAATGGTAGAACATGGACATCAATGTTTTATCAACTTTAAAATACTTTAGCTTTCTTAGAAAAAATAGTCTTTTGTTCACTTTTTTATGCAGGAGATAAGTGTGGACACGCCAGTTGAGTTTGTTGTCTATTGTAACACCCAAATACTTATAGTCTGACACTTGCTCGATGTTTTCACATTTCATTTTGAGTGGCTGCAGGGGCAGTTTCTGTATTCTAAAATCAACGACAAGTTCTTTTGTTTTTTTCACATTTAAAAGCAGCTTATGATTTTCACATCATTCAGAAAAATTAAGTACAAAATTCCGGTAAGCGGTTTCGTTATGGTCAGCCTGAATTAGCCCAATTATAGTTGAATCATCTGCAAATGTTATCAACTTGATGTTACTGTTGTTTATTTGGCAATCGTTCGTGTATAGTGTGAATAAAACTGGTGACAAAAGTCTGATAGGAAAAAAGAAGCAAACCACACCAGGGCCCCCACCAACCACCCACCGCCCTGGACCTGTCTTGTGTTGGGCATTCGACAAGCACACAGCACAGCAGTGATAAGGAGATCACCAACAACTTCAGAGACAAGAAAAGGAAAAGATGTTTGCTGCAGATCCTACCTTGCCATGGAAGATCTCGTTGACGGTCATGAGGGTGTACTCTCCCTTTGCGTAATCGTCACCGCCACAGCCTTTACACTGCTCTGCACACTCAGGGGGAGTCGATGCTGCGGACCGAAACAGTTACGGTTGTCGGTCTCGTCTAGCATTTGAGTTTGATTAAAGACAAGAACCTCAACACAATAATAGGCATTTAGTGCAGGAAAAAGTCAGACAGATGGAGACATGTTTTAGTGAAAATTTTACGGCACTTGCAACACAATAAGGTCATGTAAGTGCCGAAGATTAGAGGTGTTATAAGAGAGTAACAAACACAAAATAGAAGGACGAGAGATGAGGACAATGAATGTTTGATAGAAAAAAAGAAGCAGACCACACCAGAGCACCCGCCAACCGCCCACATAGATGGAGACAACAAATGGAAGGGAAAGAAGTTCTGGAGAGAGTCCAAAGCTTTCCCAGACACAAAAATATCATTTGGAAGAAGCCAAAGCGCCTGGCCCAATAGATGTAGTTAAAAACTAGGAAAAAAAAGAAGAGAGATGCTATACAGGAGCACACATCACATGGCTAATCACAAGTGTAAATCACAGAGCAGATGTTAAGCCACATCAGCCTTGACTGGTATCAAACAATTGACGCTCAATACTACTTAAAGGAGGTTTCTTATCTAGACTCAGTAGGGGCAAATAATACCACACAGTATTCAAACAAATAAAAACTAACCCCAGGGATGCCAAATGATTTTTGAAAAAAAAAAAAAAAAAAGAGCGGAGCATCACATCTCACCTAAAACGAACCTTGTAAAATCTTGAAATGAGCAAACAAAAACATTTCTTACCATTCCCCTTTCCTTTGCAAGTGTATGGAAAAACCAGAAAAAGCCGGAAAAAATGGAGATTTGGCATCCCGGTAACCCAAAGTATGTCTGTGACACGGGGTTCACATTGGTGGTCACTGGGATGCGTCCTTGGGCAAAACATGGCAACCACAACTAAACACAATAAAAAACAGGGCACTCTAGCGCACAGTCGCAACCAGCAATCGTATGCTTGTGAAACTGTTCAGTATTGGTGTAATGTCGTGTATGTATTGATGATGATGAGTGTATCTATTATGTTTGTACTTCTAATTATGTATCTACTACCTGGGCCCCCTTTCGATGAAAGGAATGATCGGTGCATTAACATTAACTGAAAGTCATTGGCCTACTTTATTTACACTCTACTGGAATGGAGCAATAAATCTTGAGAGATGCAAAAAATTAGAAGGTATAGATCTTTCTATACTCTCAAAACAAAATGCGCCTCACGAAATATCACTTTCGGTACTTTCGCTGTGAAGGAAAGCTACGCAGATGTTTCATTTCTCAGTGGAATAATCACAAAGGCCAAAGAAGGACGGGAACTTTTTATCAAATATATTTTTCTAAATTCAGGAAATGAATAAATAAAAAATCGGGCTCCGTCATGGGGACCTATCTTTTTTGTAGGTACTTGCAAACTTTCAACTCTGTAGCTGTCGTAGTTTTATGAGAAAAGTGACACGTGCTTCCAAGTTGCCAAATATGTAATAAAAGTACGTATGTTTATCCCTGTAACCTAAATTTCCCCCACGAGGATCAATTTTTTTTAATGTAGCGTAATATCTACGCAAATTTTTCCTAGTTGAATGAGAGGTAACATTACAAGAGCTAAAGACGTGAAGCAGTGTTTATCTCACTGCAGGACGGGCTGTAACTCCCAGTGGGGCACAGTGCATCCCTTTTTTACTAATGTTCGTCTTTGTTAGTCAGCCATCGTGTCAATCACACAAGCAACTTGCTACTTGAGCTGAGAAGACTGAAGGACCGTGAAGCCACAAACAGAGAAGTAACCAACGTTAAAACAGTTTTTAAAACATTAATTTTTTTTCCTTTAAAGAAACATATCCTACCTGTTAAAACATCCTTTCTGAAATAAAACTGATCATTCTTCACCGCATTTCGCTTGAAAGCAGTCTTCAAGTTTTCGTCAACCTGTTAAAAAAATAATACTGAGGTAAAAATGCCCACTCATTACATGCCATCATCCACAAAAGCAAAAGTGTAATTCCACAAACTTAATTATGCATTCCAATCTCAGTGAGCTGTTACTCAACCTCATCCTTTCACGCCTACCATGCTTGACAAAAAACCAAACTTGCAAATTTTGCTCCTGCAACAGTTATCACACGGGATGTTCTTGTTGAGGCTGAGTTTCCAGCGATTCAGAACGATATAACGCAGCTTTTTGTTTTTGTAAAAATTTTACGGCACTTACACAATTACAATAAGGTCATATCAGTGCCGAAGATTAGAGGTGTTACAAGAGAGTAACAAACACAAAAAAGAAGACGAAGAGGAGATAAAGACAATATATGTTTGATAGGAAAGAAGAAGACAACCACACCAAGGCACCTGCCAACCACCCACATAGAGCAGTTTTGCTAGGACCACACCAGGGCAACACAAACACACACAGGAACTAAAAGAAACAGCACACAAAAGGACGCTCACCAACCGCCCACACCACAGTCGCACATTTGAAATTATATTCTTTACATTTGGAAAACAAATAAATTTGCTACAGTTCACCACCCCTAGAATTACAAAAATCTATCTGCTCAGTACCTGGTTTTGAGAAATCTGACGTACAAAATGTTGCCTTTCACAATATGTCAAGCTTTCATGAATGCCATTCTTTGAATATCTTGGTAACAACTCCAAATAATTTTACAATTTTTTTTGTGGAACAGATAGAAAATTTGGTTTCTGACCTTACGGTCTTAGTTACTCAAAACAGCCAAAAATGTCAGATAGAACTTCTAAGGGAGCAAGTTGCTTTTTTTTAAAGTTTTAGTAGAGGTCTTACGGCGCTCGCAACTGCATAAGGTTATAAGAGCGCTAAGGGATGGATGTCAACAGAGCAGTCCATACAGGAAATCAGGGTTACTCTGTTCACCTTCTCTAACTTCAACAGCACAAAATCTGCTCCGACTATAAAGGGACCCCGGAAATAGGGGGTCACAAGAGGGTGACAAACATACAAAAGAAGTAGAGGAAAAATGACCATAGTAAGGATTAGAAAAGAAAAAGCAGCAGTTCCCTGTTGCAGTTCAGGCACAGTTATGAGCATGACATTGTTGTATCAGCCCATTTAGAATTCTACTGTGCGTAAGAACAAGTTAATGTCACAACATTGAGAAACAGAAATATTTTTTTTAAAGGCAACCAACTGGTCAGTTTGTTATAATAAGCATTTTTCGGCACTTGCAACACAATAAGGTCAAAACGTAAATGCTGAAGATTAGAGGCATTAAAAGAAAGAAACAAACACGAAAAAAAAAAAAAGGACGAGAGATAAGGATGATAGATGTTTGACAGGAAAAAAGGAAACAGACCACTCTCCAAAACAAGCACGCGTCAACTGCCCGTCCCAGCTTCCTGGTTAAGAAAACTTACTTTTGATATAGGGATGATGAGGTTGAGCTTGTAAGACAAGATGACGCGGGTGAGCAACACGATGAACACAGTGAAGGCTGCATTCTCAAAGTCTGTGAGCTGCGCCTGGGGATGGGAGAACACAGGGAATAAACAACTGTTTTGTTTTAATAAGAGTTTTACGGCACTTGCAACACAATAAGGTCATATAAATGCCGAAGAATAGATTACGTGTTGCAAGAGAGCAACATACACAAAAAAGAAAGAGGGGAGATAAGGACGACAGATGTTTGATAGGAAAGAAGGAGCAAACCACACCAGAGCACCTGCCAAGTACCCACGAATAAACAACACACCACATGGTCGCTTTTAAGGACAAGGGGGCTAACCCTTACAAGAAGTCTTTTTTTTTTGGTAAATGTTTTACGGCGCTCGCAATTGCATAAGGTTATATGAGCGCGCAGGTCACATTTAACATTTTCAGTTGGTAGGAAATCCTGAATTTTGCCAGGGTGGCAGCCGAACCCTACTCTTATCGATTTTGGACCACCAAGGGATCTTTAACGTGTGCAATTTTCACATGGGACCTCCGAGATTTTTCGCCCTTGTCCGAGAAGGCTAGGTGTAGATCTTTCCTAACAGAAGATCAGGGGTGTGGCTAAAAGACAGCAGTAAGAAGGAGTGAATTATCTTGTTATATACGATCTTTGGTGGCACAGCCCAGAAACGTTCCCAAAGATGAGAGCTGACTAAGTGCATGTTGCTACATGCCTGAAAGACCACAGGTGTTGGTCAACTCTCTTACCTCCATGGGCCTGAACTCCACACGCCATCCAATGTTGGAACCGGGCGGGGGAGGTTTGAACCTCATGGTCTGCCAGTTTGTGGACTGAATGTTCTGGAAAAGACATGGAAAAAAAGGGACTAGAAAAACATTGCAGAATTTCAGAAAAGTATATTGACTTGGTCATCATACTTATCCGAGATACATTGGTCATTCCAAGCTAAGACCTCAATACTTGCACACCAAAAAAATGTGTAGAGGTCTTCACAGAAAAGAAGTGTTTAACATTATCCATCCACACCGCACGCGGAGCGCGCAACACTTATCCCCCACGGACCAGGATACAGATGTGGTACACGCTATATCACAGTCACCGATTGGCGTCCCGTGTGGAAAAAGTACGGCTTCTTACCATTACCGATTGGCGTCCCGTGGGGGCAAAGTGTTAATCAACCCTTTGAGCCACTGTCCCCTCAGCCTACAACAATGCTTGCCAACCTGGGCAGCACGGCCCACAAGTGGGCAATTTGGTCATTTTGGTGGGTGGTGGGTTTTATCTAGGTAGCGACAGGTGCTAGTTAATGATGCCCCACTTGGAAATACATGTAGGTGGACATTAGTAGAATTTTGGTCTCTTAACTCACTCAATCCTGAGAGTTTTTCCCGAAATGGTACCCAGAAACCCGTCATGTTGGAACTTATGTAAGGGCCCACTAGTAACCATAAATATCATACAATTGCTTTTACATTTGGCACAAAGTACAACCTAAGATAGATCTTTAGACATACAAAAAAATTTTGTATTTATTTTATTTTTTTAGTAGAGGGTTTAATGTATTTGTGAGAAAGGCAGAGAGAATCGATTGCAAGACATGCTCAGCTGATCAGTATGAACAAATGTACTGAAAGTGCCTTCATAAAAATCACGATTTCTTCCCCGTGTAATGACAGTAGGAACAAAATTCCAGCACCCCTCTAGGCAGAATAGAGCGAGGAAATAATAAATTGACCTTATATAAAACTGGACACGTTTTCCAAAACGAAATAACTATATACGGAACAAAACTATAGAACCGAGTTATCTCGCTCGTGGGATTGATCACATCCCACAAGCTGACTCACCGGATTGAATGAGTTAAAGGAGGCAAATATATGGGCGCTGGCTATAAAAAGGTTGACACGCACTGGTCTACAGGGTCTGAGCATCTGAGCTCCCTCGGGTCAACCGCTAGATACACCCCATCGCATGCTAAGGTCTCTATCCGTTATTCTTTCAAGATCCAGTCAGATTTACGGAGATAGCTCGATACAGAAGTGTGTATACTACTCACTACATTTCCTGAAACGTATACTAAGGTGGGACAGAAGACGCTGGCCACATGGACATACTCTCAGAAGGTCACGCAGCTGCATAACAAAGAAAATGGATTGAAATCCACAGGGTCAGAGATCAAGGGCAACAGGGTAAGAGATCAAGGGGATGGCCATGTGGAACCTAGAGAACAGTCAAACAGAATGATGTACAGAAAAGTGAGAAGATATATACAGTAAAAATATCAAGAGACAATATGACGTACAGAAAAGTGGGAAGATACGGTAAAAATGTCAAGAGACAAGCCAAGGATAAGGAACTTTATTTTACTTTACTCTTTCAACCCAGAGGCCATCTGAGTTCTAGCTTCTAGCCCTTCGGCCTGTCGATATGGCAATGACAAGGGAAGGTAGAAGGTGTTTGTTTGTGGCCTATACCCAGATCCAGGTTGAGAGAGGAAAAGATGATACTACTCACTTCAAAATGGTCGGTGTCGTTTTCGTCATCCTGGTTGATCTTCTCGGAAAACAGAGACACGGGATCACGGATGAACAGATGGGCGACGTGCCGGGCTAGGAGGTCGTCCACCCCTGGTGAAGGAAGGAATACACAAGTGTACCAGGAGGGTTAGTTAGTCCTTCACATTTTAGTTTTAGTTTTAGTTTTAGTTTTAGTTTTTTTATAGTAGAGGGTTTTACGGCACTCGCAACGGCATAAAGTCATATGAGCGCCAAGGGGTGGGTGTCAACAGAGAAGTCTTTACAGGGAATCAGACTTATTCTTTTCACCTCTCTAGCTTCAACAGCACAAGGTCTGCTTCGACTATCAAGGCATCCCGGAAATAGCAGGTCACAAAAGAGTGACAAACATACAAAAGAAGTAGAGGAAAATGACAATAGTAAGGATCAGGAAAGAAAAGCAGCAGTTCCCTGTTGTAGATCAGGAACAGTTATGAGCGTGACATGAGTCAGCCCATTTACAATTCTACTATGCTTGAATGAGAAATGTCCCCCCTTTGGGAATGGCCTAAAGACACTACAGTCAGTGGCACTGCCCCGGGAGTATGACTAAGTCTGATAACGACAACGATGCTGTAAAACTCAAAACGCCTAGGTCTCCCACTCACTCTCCTCCTCTTTTGTGATTGTAGCTCTCTTGTAACACCTCTTTTTTTCAGTAAGTGTTTTACAGCACTTGCAACACAATAAGGTCATATAAGCGCCGAAGATTAGAAGTGTTACAAGAGATTAACAAACACGAAAAGGAAGGAGGGTACATAAAGACGATAAATGTTCGATAGGAAGAAAGAAGCAAACCACACCAGAGCACCTGCCAACCACCCACGTAACACCTCTAATCTTCAGCACTTACAAGACCTTACTGTGTTGCAAGTGCTGTAACAATCTTACTACAAACCTAAAAAAAAAAAATTTTTTTTAAAGATGTCGCGCTCACCTCCTGCCATGAGCTCGTCACACAGTTCCTGGTCCAAGGTTAAGTCAATGTCGTTGTAGCATCGGCCCAGTGGGGAGATGTAGCTGTCGATGGAGTCGTAGCGGGATTTGTTGATGCGGAACCTGTCCTCTTTCAGCGGCTGCAAAAAAAAATGTAAAAAAAAAACATTTATGCTATTTTGTGCATCAACCTTTTGAGCCCTGACCTCCTGAGGCAACCGTGACCCTCTGCCTAAGCCTCCCAGTGATTCACTCCTGTATTGTTCTTACATTAATACCATCGTCAGATCGACATTCCATATCCCACTCAAGGTAGTTATCGTTATTACTAGCATCTAATTCAGAAAACATCTTCAAAATAATCAATAATGTTCTGTGTAATAAACACTGTTTTCCGTGTGCATTTTGTCCCAGACGTGCCGGGTTAGGGATAGGGTCTCGCTCACCAGTGTATATTTTGTTTTTGTTTTAGAAGGTTTTACGGCGCTTGCAACTGCATAAGGTCACATGAGCGCCAAGGAGTGGATGTCAACAGAGGAGCCCTTACAGGGAATCAGACTTACTCTG